CTTGCACCTCGCGAAATGCTCCCATATGACCAAGCGTCTCGAATAGCCTCTGCTGAGGAATCTCTACTCATTTCCTCCTCGTGACGGAGGCGTTTTCCCACCAAGGTGAGAGGACGAAAAGTCGATATCCAGGGCTATAACCGGGTTGGTGGACCACTGGTAGTTCACCTAGGGGAGTTGGCCGAAAACACTGATTCCAAACCAACCACGAGGAGACATATGAACCGTACACACAACTTCCTGGTTGTGGCGGTGGTCACCGGCTCGATTGGGCATTGAGGTGTATTGGGCACATTGGACGTTTGACCCCGTCCAAAGGGCGTATGATCCGATGAACTGGACACCGGCCTCCAATGGATTGCGGTTTTCGCACACCGCCCCGCTGCCTTGCGGGTTAGACTTTGGCTAGCCAGAGGCTCAGGTTGTGCAGCCCTCAAGAAATTCCACCTGCCTTGGCCTGGGCAACCTGAAAGTATTCCGCCCACAGGCCAGCCGTGGAACGTTTTTCTTTTTATAAAGATTATTGTACCATGATTTGCTTGACAGTCTGGATTCAGACGTGTGAAAAATTATATATTTCTAATGGGAATTCGTCGTGTATATAGCAAATGAAGCGTGAACTGAAAAGCACGGAAGCACTGGAAAGCAGTTTTGACTTGGTTGGGTCTTATCAGCAGTGCGAATCTATCGACCGACTGGGGATCGGACCCGGGACTTCATGGGCAGAACGCAAGCGTGCTACCACTCGACTACCGGGCAGCTGATCAGACCGTTTTTCATTTTCCATTTACACGCTATAGCCTTACGTGATTCACCACTCCAATTCCGGGGCTTCGGTTTACGGTTTCCAGCACTGAACAGCAGTTTCTCGTGACTATGGTGTTTACCCGTCTAGTGTGTAATATATAATAATAATAATAATAAGTCAGATTCTCAAACGCATATATATATATAAACCCAGTTGGGTCGATGAATTCGCACTGATGATGAGACCCAACCAGGTCGAAACAGATATCCAGTATTTCCTAGCTTTTCAGTTCACGCTTCATTTGCCATGTACACGACGGATTCCCATTATAAATTTAATCAAATCCTCCATTACTCACATGAAATATGTGTTTGACTTGAGCAGTTCAAGAATTTGAAGATTTGGTGTACCAGAAATCCTGATGCACCTGAATATCAACCTTTTGAGACTCTCTGGTACCCATAGAACACATGAATACAAGCAATAAATTCCATTAGTAAATCCAAGCTCTAACCCGGGCACAACAGACCACATGCAGTGAGCCGTAAGTTGTACACCTCGATCGTTGTGAATAAAATCCTCAATATTTTAAGTTAAAAAGATCTTAAGCGTTCTGGTTGAATTGGATAATAACTCACGGGAATCAACGGAAGCACGGACAAGCAACGCAATGCCCCATGTCCAATGACGGTATTGATTATCTTGTCTGTGTTTGTATGTTTGACAGCAGAAAAATTGATTTTTGCTCACAGAGCCGGAACAGACAAGAAATGGATCAGTGATTAGTCAAGTGCACATGACTGAAACTGAAGGACTAAAGAACAGGGCACGATCTCGCATGCACATGAAACGGAATAATAAAAGTGCATGAAGTACTCTCTGCGATTCATCCCAGTCGTGTACGATTGGGTTCATCGTATTCGGTGTGCGCTCTGGATTGAGTTAGTATGCGGGATTCAGTTATGATTTTGACAAAATTGCACTTATATGAGACGAAATTATTTTAGACTGTCTCGTAGTTAAATGCAATAAAATTGACTACCCAGAAATAAAAGAAAGCATCATTCAAGTACACTTACACTCAGATTTTCGATTTATAACCGAGTTTCTGCCGTTCATTGTGGGTACCTCAGTTGTTATGTGGCGATAAGGACCCTTCCATTACCAAAGACTCATCTCTGCAACAAACCGCGAAACTTTGTCTCATCGGAGTTCAACCCAAGGCTATGAGTGGGTCAGTGAGTGATCTTAATGTCATCGTCGCATCATTAAATGTAATTCATGAATCCAAGTTTCATAACTCAGTTTGCCTGTAATCAAAAAGTGAACGATGGGTTCTTGTGAATACGGGGTTGTCCCCATCAGCTGATTTTCATACAACGATGCGTGTAATGAAGAAATTCCAACAATCACCTCAAAGTACTCGAAGCAATTTTTGGTTCTTTTTAAAAATTATCATCAGTGCATACTTGTCACTCTATTTTAACTCCAGACCTATGGTATGGAACAATTACGTATTACAGCCAATTCAAACACGGGAATGAACAGAATAAGCAAAATTCAGGTTTGTTCAATTGTCATGTTCAGTGACAGTCAGTTAATTTATTTACAGACAGTACACGTAGTGTGTGTGTGTGTGTGTGTTTGATTTCCAAAACAATATCTATATTGGTACCAATCCTGTTGGTGGTCATGTCGTAATGTGCATTATTTCTGACTTACAACTCATTATTGTCCACCTCCTGTCGTGCTTTGTTTAAGGTGACCAGGTCCGGATATCGTGGATTTCAAAATCGACTGACGTTTGTTTGATCGATCATTTATTGATTCAGTCTGTGAACTACTAAAGATATTCAACCGCCAAACGGCAGTGAAGTGTTGTGAACTCTCTCTCACATACACACACATCCACTCCGTTGAAAGGCCGATCCGGTCTGGCCTAACTAACCACGGCGCGGTTACAACGTCGGAGCAAGTCTGAGTCATAGGCTTGGTGTGTTGTTCAGCCCTAGCAACGGTATGCTAGAAATGAGGAGGCCGGAGCTTGAATGATCGGTTTGGTTCGGTATGCAAACTAGATGTATGCAACGTTCCACGAGATCACATTGGGATTGAGATATGAGGATCATATGGTAACACATGAACAAAGTGATGAACAAGAAAACTACAAATGTGAAGTGGTGACTAGACCCTAACATAGTCTCAAACAGCAGAAAAATAGCGGGATCCATCTGATCAGACCGGGAGAGGGGGGGGGGGGAAAGGGAGTTGTTTAAATGAAACCGGCAACAAATTTCTGTGTGCATCATCTGGAGACAGAATAAGCAAACAATTTGACGGGCGGCGTAGAGCGTAAGTCTAGAAGGCGTACCAACACGAAACGTGCCTACTGTTATACAAAGCATTTGTCTGACTTAAGCCTTCCTTTTGTATGCCAGCCCAGAGGTGAGTACAACCCCAATTTTCAGATTAGATACAATCAAAAATGCTCAAGGATCAAAGAACTGGTAGAGATAATCTTGCCGTTTAATTGGTCGTCACTGATGCGCTAGGCTCTCCAAGGCTCTAGGCCCGAGTGCTGCCATGTTCACCCAACAGTGGTGATGGACAGTTTCACTATTTCCCGGGTGGTCTATGGGGTTTCATCCGTCTACTTTTCAGCATATTAAATTGGGCAATAAAAAATATCAGTTTTGCTCACGTCATTACTCCCCATTTTGAAGTTTATTAAGGCCGATTTAGATAAAATTATGAAAAGGTAGAATCTGCGGCTACTGGTCGTCTGTCTGTTATGCATCCCGGATGTGTACAGACCATCTCCTGGGGACATCAAATCTGTCTGACTGGAGATCAGTACCCATGGGACAGCAATCAATGGATTTCCTAGTCTCAAAATGGCGGTTATGAATCCATGCGCAGAAAACCACCCATACATGTGTAGTAAGTAATGTTCTTGTAAACGATTCATGAATTGCTTTATTGCTGTGCAAAGAGATTTATCACGATCTGTTTATCACGCAGCGTGAATCGAGGCCAGTATACAAGCAGCATGATATATCAAATCATGCTGACTAGTGAGCAGTGTACCTAATCACATATTATGCACGTGGTCATGATGGTAGTGAGATGTGAACACGACCTACAGACCAAGATACTGCGTCAGTTGCGGCGGTTTGACAAATGGATCGTTCTTATTGTCTTTTCAACTCACAGATTGTATAAAAAAACTAGACGCTACCAAAATTAAGCTGTGGTTTGTCAACAGCAAACTGTGCTCTTTCGACATCAAAGTTATGTGTCCCGGCCCCCTTATTTTGTCTCTTCAAACAAAAGTCTTGCGTAATCCCGCAAAATGGACGAATTTTGGTGCAAAGTTGATTCATCTAAGATGTGTATTGCCTAAAGAAGGCTTTTCTAATGAGAAATAAAAACACTCTAGTTGCGGCAATGTGTACTTTGTTATTTGCGCACCATCGTATTTTCCTGCCCATATATAGATTGAAGAGTTATAGAATTAGCTCCTAAAATCCTGTGGTTACTCCATTATTTAAGATAACGGTACACACAAATCTCGACCGACGTGCATATGCGATCCCAAATGTTATTTTAAGGAATTCGGCAACGTGTCCTCGAGTCAGAGTGTGTTATCCTTACGCCTCACTGGACATTTGAGTTCATGGCGTTTCATCTTTCCTCTCTTGCAAATAATCTGCCAATGCCCTATGACTATTCCAGCTTAGACCAACACCCAGGCCACATTCGGCTGTCCGAAGTATGCGGTCACGGGCGCATCCTGATACACACACAGGCCCAAGCAAGTTGCATTCTAGAAATAACATTAAAATTTCTCTGTTATGCCGCTGCTTCGGAGCCTGATAAATTTCGAATTGTGTCAATTTGGCGAGGTGTTCGGCTAATACTAATTCGTTTAAGGCCTGAAATAACTAATATCTACTATAAACGGATACTCTATACATATTCATATTCATCAACGCCGGCGATTAGCGGAAAATGTTAAGGCACAATTAAACGAGTCCCCATAGAAACTAGACATCGTGACTCTGGCTTCAACTGAGCAAATACTGTCAGTTGACATCATTCCTCCTTCGGAAAGGCATAAGGCCTCTGGCCCGGAGGTCTCTCTTCCCATCGGATTTTAAGAAAGGATGTTCGATCATGTGTCTTAAAGTTGATGATCCCTTAGGTTTGGAATGAGAGGGTGAACAAATTTCAACTGAGCGATGTGAGTCAGTCATTTTATGGGATTGACAAGAAACGCGACAGATCCTGTTTCGAAAACCAAAGAGAAGAATTAGGTGGGTCAACATCGTCTCTAAACTTCTCACTTGAATATTAGATACTCCGTCGATTGTCTGCCGCACGTGAGCGAAGCATGCGTTTTGCAATATCCAAGTGTGAAAATACTGACCAGGAGTCTGGACCATACATGTCTCGTTTTCCTTCTTGAATGGGGACTTCTGGACTAGCGTAACCGATGATTGGAGATACTGAGTTCAATAGCTTAGTGTCATAAAAATTGGCACTTGTACATCTATTCACTGTATTTACTACCCGAATTATCTTTTTCACTTCTTCATCCAAACGGGAAGCAAAGAGTCAGCATCCAAAGCTGCCGCCCGGAAAGGCATGGTTAATAGTGGTGCAAACTGAAATGAACTCTACTTTCAGGGGGGAATTTCGGTCTGCACTCTATGATCTCCGTGATATCGCGCTCTGTGCGTAAAAAATATTTTAAACCAGGAATGGAGACAGGTGGCGTTATTAGCTGCGTTATAATTCTATGCAAAGTGAATGGAATAATGTGGCTATCATGTACTACAAAGTCAAAATAATGGAAGCAGAACTCGTTTGATGGAAATAATCTGGTCTAAGTAGATCTCAGCTGGAGTTTTCCTCAATGTTTGTTTTTCATCCAGGCTGAGTTTAAAAGCCCATGATGTAGTACAACTCAGGAAACGAGATTTTTACCTCTGGTTGATTATTTTCGAAATTAACTCATCTCAAAAGATTGAATCAAAGCGTGTGTACTTCGTATGCACACTCAATGGAGTCGCACATTCAAAGTTCAATCCTGATTCTCTTACTATTCAGTGATGTGCCGGTACCAATCTTTTGTTTTCGCCGGAAATTAAAATTAATTATTAAAATTAAAAATTAAAATAATGATTAAAATTAAATTAATTTGTTTCCGTGTCATATCACACACACGCACACATGTAATTACGCCTGAGACACAACAACACGGTGAAACTCACTGTGGGACGCAGCAATGGATGTGGTTTCGATTGGCTTACTTTTAATCTAGACCGTGATTGGTTACTGGAACAGCCAATTAGAAATGAGTACAACCAGTAAGCATCAGTAACACATACGTTGACCATAAGGTTGATGAAGCTCCATGAGCGTTAAAACACGCCACAAATCTGGCAATAGCATCAAAAATGGATACTGTCCCGTTGTCACCACGTTCTCGTTTAAGTGTGAGCCCACTAAATCAACTGTTTCTCAACCAGCTCATTCCTCATCCGTTTTTCCTCGTTTCAGAGTGCATCTGTTCGCACAGAACGGTCATGTCACATGTAAGTGTGCTCGATCGGTGCTCTCTTATTCTGAGCGGACTATTTTTTTCCAGTTTCAGTTTTCTTCATGTACCCCGCACCATAGACGAACACATGCATCTTCCCATAACCAGAAAGATTTCGGCTCGATGTGCCGCGGAATTACCACCCAATATGGACGAATCACAATTGGAAGTATTGGGCTCCATCGGAACAGGTGCATTTGGTCGAGCTTTGAAGGTGAGGAACATAAACTGAAATCGATTTGATTTTTTTCTATACTCTAACTATCGTGTAAATGAGATCTAGCTCAGGTATTTTTAGTAATGTTATTTGTTCTTATTGAATTCGTGTTGACTTACCAATATCGTAGGCATCAAATGTTACGTTTTCTTTGTAATCAACAAACTTCGTCGTATCCGAATCAGTTAGACGGTATTTATGTTACCTCCTTTCAATCTGCCTTGGATAGCGTACTGAATGCATCATATTTGTCATACTTGAGTAGTTCTGTTCATCACAGTGCATCAGCTGAACACTATCAGTTGATGAATGGCTTTCAAATAAGTTCACGTCTACTGACTTCTAACTGTTCGGTTAGCAACGGTTTTATCAAACACTTTGATGAACAGGGAACTGAGGTGATAAAATAAATATAACTCCAAAGGTTTGGTTGTGAGTGAGGTTTATATCAGACCGAAAACGAAGCTGTCAAGCACCTATGGGGATCCAGCAAGCTGCCTATTGCTCGACTGAAAACGAAGCTTGAGAGCTTTCCAGGAATCATTGTAAACTGACAAGAGTACAACTCGTTTCGCTCTAGGTAACAGAACCCGTTTCTTATACAAACTGAAGTTGCAATTTCCCGTTTGGGGCCGGTAAACCTCATCAAATTAAAAACCCAAAGACTGGAAATTAAGGTCTCAGAAATGTAACGCTTAAGAGCACGAGGAAAACGTGATAGGATTACCGTAAATACTTCTACGGATACCACGCGCTGAGAGTGAGCGAGGAATGAAACGCGCGAAATATCACACACAAAATGTTCATGGTAAGCAGACCTTCGATGACATGGGACTCAACCGGTTCCTCGTACACAGTCATCAGCGGTTGCTGATCCCGTTCCAGATCAGCTAAACAATCAGACAACCGACACGCCGTAAACGATTCTTCTAGAGTACAGTTATGCTTTGTAGTTCTTTATCTATTTAAATACTGGCGTACTTTTGCAAGAAGTTTGTGCGTAGGGGAAAACAGTAGACATTCTATTGCACTTAATGCATTACTCGATAAAGCACACGTGGAATCCCACTCAACGGAGGCCTGACTAGTTTTATCAAAAAAGCTCACTAAGGACAACCTAATTGTTAACAAAGCAAAAATAGCCATTGGGAATGACGGTGTGTGTGTGTGTGTGTGTGGATGAAAGTGACGTGCACATAACTGTACAGAGATGTTTGCACGTATCAGCATCTTCTAGTGTTAATGTTGTTGCCAAGATGTTTGTGCAATTATTGATTGTCACAGAAATCGAAAAACGGGGCAATGAACTAAATTCTACGATATACGATAAATTAAATGAATCAAGGAAGCAATCAGTGGTGGATGTTTTTTTGTGTTTGTCAGTGTGAAGGCTGAGGTTTGAGGAATTTCGAATAAATGTGGATAATTTGATCAATTTCAGATGAACGGATACACGTAACCTAGTATTTGTTTTATTCGCTTTATTTGCGGTCTAAGACAATTAGCAAGGATCATCTGGGTATAGATTCACTAATTACATGCATGCACTAACTTAGGTGACATTTTATTATGTTATTACGCAAAATTTCTAGAACAATCGATGAATTTTATGGGGCCATCTGTTGCTTCTGTTGTGAATATATCCGGTGTCAATGGGCTGAGTGAGAAACATTCGGTTAATCTTTGAGGTAGATTTTTTTCAGGCCACAGTGGCCGTCGATTCTACGATGAGGATCCTAATTGCAGTGGTGTATCCCTTAATTACGGACAGCTAAAACGTCCGAGAAAAACAACCACATGAAGTTTTTTATACTTTTCCTCAAACATCAATAGTTCCGTTTTTCACTTCCGTTACCACTGCTTTCTTAATGGTTTCTCTTTCAACGGGGGGGAGCCATATATATTTCCATTACACGCTATTGTGTGAGGAAAAGCAGAAAGGCTACACTCTATGGGCATGAAAAACTACTGTTCAGGGATGGAAACCGGTAACTTAAGCGTCGAGACGTGAAGTGGCGAACCACATAAGATCCCGATTGCGCAAACGGAACACAGCGAAGCTGCCTATTAGCAAAGCTGCGTTGCGGTCGCGGGTTTCGAACCTCAGACCCTAGGCCCCAAAGAACGCCAGGGAGAACTGCTTAAACCACTTGACAACCACCACTATCCAAAAAGTACCACCCACGGTGTCGCTCGATCGCGTAATATTATATATATATATATAATATTATTTGTTACTCTGTAACCAGTGTCTAAACAATCCTCAGGACAAACATCTATATTATTCTTCATCGGATAAGAGGAGATTGAGTCAATCCGGGTCTGACAGCCAGTCAGACGTCAATGTTGACACACGTCTGTGTTGTATAATAAATTTCAGCTTATTAATCAATGTTTGTGCTAGGGGTTCCAAATAGACAGTTGCAGTTTACTTTATTCTTTTTCCGCAGGCATCCCCGAACGTTGTTGCGTAGTGATCAAGCACGAAATATTAATATCCTATAGAGCAAATATTTGATTAGAACATGATAAAAATGATAAAAAAAATCGATTTTATTCACTTAATCGGATGTTCTTTCATCGTAGAGATAATAAATATATATATTTGAGAAGAGGTCATCCTAAAAATCTCGTTGATAACAGATGCGATCGATTGTCAATAAGAGATGACATCCATGTAACAATAGATCTTCCCGTTAGACCCTTTCGTCGCGTGCAATCATTTTGTTCGAATCACTGCTTTGTTTTACTAGGAAATTCAAAACTCAAATACATCCTCGACCAAGCAGTTCCTGTAGATCAGAGTGATGTGAAGTAACTTATCAGGCCGAATATTGGTTTCCCCTGGCATTTAATTAGGTCTACATTAATCGCTTGTGTGTGCCTCCATCCNGTAGAACGTAATGCCGTCTCAGATTTAGAACCGATCGGTTACGCAGACATTTGAATTTGATTATAACGATTTTTGTATGGTCATCTGGTGAAGTCTGTCCACTTGCCTTGGTCTTGATTCATTGGCTTTTGATTAATACCGTCTTCATTATGACCGCATTTATTGATTCAAATCTCGAAATCGGATTCCATTTTCCCTCCAATCGGCAGGTGAGACATCGGGAGCATGGACATTTACTCGTGCTCAAAGAAGTTTTAACAGAGTGCAAAGAAGATGAAGCAGCTCTAGTTCGAGAGGTAAGCTCCCATTTATTCCACTTTGCCACATTTAGCGGTCAATTTCTCTTGGGGATGAGAAGAGTTGGGTTGCAATGGCTGATGATGGAGTATAGTTTGTCAACTTCACAGGCAACAACGACCTGCGTGAAGTGACGAGTAAAAACCCCCAAAGATGATTTATCTTGCAACAAACAAGTTTCTTCTCCAAAACAGCAATGAAATACACATTATAATGGTGTAAAACATGTAAAAATCAGACTGTGCCACTATCCTGTTTAACAAACACCTGGAATCTGCGAATTCAACAGATACAGACCGCGAACAAGTAGGCCTGCATGTCGGTGGCAATCTAACGAATAGATCAAACGGTGACAAACCGGAGTAGATAAATCGGGGATAGTGAACAATGTGAAGTGACCTACGGAGAACCAATCGAAATGTGGGGTACGCTAGTCAATGATCAATGCCGTGAAGGGACACCGAGAGTAAGCTTGTGTGGGTGCGTTCTTGTGCAGGTGTCAGAGTTAGTCAATTATGGACAGAGATCGATGAAATCATTGAGAGCGACAACATAGTGAGCAGCGTAGTGGAGCAAACATGTCCTTATGTGCAAACGGTGTAGAAAACAGACACGGATCAATTAAGCGGATGAAATCGACGGCACACAGGTCATATATAGGAAGACAGGCAGCCGGACATTGGTACGGACGTGGGTGCATGTGAAGCGTGTTATGAGGGAATGATAAATAGATCCAGTTGTGGTGGAATAAATTCGATATGGTTTATTATTATTTATTACCAAGTCTTGCATAGTGGACCATAATGATCGGATGCCCGTGAACGAAGTTATTGCTCTTGAAACCACATCTTTGTCAACAAAGTATCTCCTTTAAAAATCAAACAGAGCTAGGCGCTCTCTATCGGTTACCACAGAGATTTCCATCACATAAATAGATGCATTCAAATGGTGAAGAATTGACGATTTCTTCAGGAGTGAACAAACTAACACCAGTGCTTGGCCCTCGTGAACAATCGAATGGCTTAATTCGAACCCGATACTACAAATAATAGGAACAACGTATAAAAAAATTGGGTTGGTCTGTGAAAAATGTACTAACACGAAAGAAGTTACAATCGTGTCAACACTAGGCATTGCAAGACATCCGACGACCATTGTGGCCACCGTTGTTACTTTCTGCAGTTTTCCATACCCAATACCTTTGCTACCACATTGAAAAATTACTGCGATCTAGCACTGCACGAAATCCGTTTCTCTCATCCACACATCGATCACCATGAGGCTTGTCTCCTGTCCTGGAAAAACTACAGGGGTAATGCCATTCATGCCGGTCACTGGGTCACAAGACATGATGTGCTTTGTACACCCCAAATTATTTTGTTCCGATTTCCAAATTGGTTCCATTCGATCCACGTCCAAAGGATCACAAAACCGAGCAAAAACTTCTGAATATCAAGCAGTTCGCGTATGATTCAATTCGCCAACCGACAATACAGAGATACCGAAGAGTGCCAGCACCTTCCGAATGACGGCTTTTATTATTTGAAGTTAAGGTATCAACCTGGCTTTGTTCTACTCAGAAATTTCCACAGAGCGCTCAAGTTCAGGTTTCGACGCAGAGAGAGAAAAAATAATGATAAATCACTCCATGGTCAGAACAACCGGTCCGTACACCCTAGGAACACATTTGTCGTTCCATAATCATTTTCTCATTGTTTGTTCTGCGAACCGCACCCAAAAACAAACGTGTACACCACACGGAACAGAGTGGATTACATCATCACCAGAAAGAGTTTCTGTCCGACTTTCGGCAATCGGGTTTTCGTCAGGGGGACATCTCAGAAAGAATTTATGTTTTACCGCCTGCTTATAGCTCTTCAATGATCAATCAACGGAATATTCTTCGAAAATGGAAACTCATCTCGATCAGCTCAACTGTTGAGTGTCTATGAAAGCTGTGCAATCACGCAGCTCTTGTGCGCTGTTTGATAAAAAACCATGAGTTCTCGACTGAGTCAGTCACGGATACCCGCAACAAGATTAAAAGATTCATATGCTTGGACTTCCCGAGTTTCCATCCCGTTTTATTTTAATTTATTCTATAATCAAAGCTAGTTCTTCACAAGGCTCAATCCAGTACAAAACTGCTGAATTCTAAATTTCGTGAACATCCGGACATGAAAAATTTCTTATTCTCATGTTTTATGCAGTCTTTCTTCTCGTCTTCTGTCCTCCTAACACACGTTCCTTTCTCGATTTTGGATTTCATTTTTACTTCATCAAATTGGAAAATGATTACATTTTAGACATAAATCCACTCTATGCATTCATGTATTCCATTAACTTCACCGTCTCCTAGTCATGCTGTCAATGTCTAGGTGATGACCAGGAAAAGGGGATGAGGTGCAAAGCATTTGACCGACTTTCGGCTGGCCCGTTTAATACAACGCATATCCCATTTGGGTATAACGTGATTCCCCATTTTAAGGTCACCGAGTTTAGATGGTCAGCTGACATAAATAAATAGTTTATATTTGTGACTTTGGACTTCACATCTCTACTGTTCCTCAGAAAGTGGTGTGCAATAAAATAATAATGACCAGTCACTTGTGCGCTGCAGCAAGGCCAAAATATCTCGCAAAAACATTAGTTCTCAGACGTTTTATCGCGTTTGTTGGTCCTGACCGATGGTTTATGTTGGCAGAAAAAGAGGACTAAAGTGCTAAATTGTTGGGTCCCATTTGTATGGAAAGAACCTGACCTGATTTCCTTTGTGCACACAATATGAAGACTGAAAACGCCTCTTGCCTTCGCCAGAAGGAAATTTCGAAGAGACCATGAATAATAAACTAATCATTCACAGTGAACATTTGTAGTGAGCAAATCAACGGGATAGCTATTGATCAGAGGGTGTCACGAGACAGGGAGAAGTGAGAATTTTGTTCAAGCAAATTGGGATTTAAACACATGAATTAACCTGCTTATCATAGAGAATGGTTAAATGATCTGTGTTAGTATGCAATCATTATTCCGACCAAACGTTCGCCGTCACGCTTTTCGAAATAAACCTCAACGGGCGCAGTCATTTCTCATCCTTAATCTCATTCCTCACAGAGATTTAGTTGTCATGTGATTTTCAGCCACATACACACACACACGCTCAAGTGTAAACGTGGAGGTGTTATCTCATATCTTCGTTGGGATCTTGGTTTCGAGTAGAAATCCAAAATGAACATGTAATCACTTCGAATGCTGTGAAAATCTGGATCCTTTTTGTCTTGCTCCATTCTCTATGCGTTTGTTTTGTTCTCCACTACACATTCTTGTAACATTGTGATAATTCATTGACTTGTGGCTAGCACAGCTGTATATCACCATTGGTACAAATCAATTTGGCGTTTTTTGTCCGTCTGCCCGGGCGCTTCACACAGGTCATATGACCCACTTATCACGCGGATACCTCCCTCTATCATGGGTCAATGAGCAACCAGTTATGCAAATGCATGTGTTAGAAACACCGAGAGATATTGAGAGCGAGAATGGTTGTTCTTATCCGTTATATTATGTATGTTTGTGCGCGCGCCCGCGCGTGATCACACTCGGTTACCAAGGTGAAAATACATTTGCACATTTACTTTCTCCCTTTCTTCCTGTTGTTCTCCCTCTTGTGCAGTATCTACCCACTCATAGTTTCCTGTTTTCAATGGATACACTGAATGGATCATGAAATATTTTCGATTTTATTTTTGAATTGGTTTGATAGCACTAGCCGATTGAGAATGTCTCACTAGGGCGACGGATCTTCTTTGCCCATGCGATCATGTACTGCTGACTGAGTCGTCGTTCAGGTCGACACAATCTCAGCACTTACCACACAATGTCCTTCATACTCTGACAGTCACAAAAGGAGATAGTGAGTGAAGTAGGGGTGATTCTGTCATCTCAAACTACCGTTATACTTACAACAGAAAAATTGACGTTGAGCATTTTAATTATTTCTCATTGTCCAGCCCTAATTTGACGAACAAATCGTGTGTTTTGGTAAATGGAGACAATAATACAGTTTTCTCTGAGTATAAACCCAGCTCCTATTTAAAAAATATTTTTTTTATAAACTATGACTGAGTTCAGGATCTTAAAATAGATTCTATTGATGTTTCTCAACTGAGTGGAGACTACTGTCTGTTCTCTCATTTTTTTCAATTGGCACGGCGGTGGCCTAAACGCGCCATTCATGGTAATTGTATTTTGTTCTCACGGACAAAGCTACACAAACTGTACGCGACGGATTGTGAACATAAAATTACCCAACTACGTCCAAAAGGGCCATGACCTAATCGTCTGAATGCCATACTCTGTTACTATCCCAAAGGAAACTTGTCCAGCGGTCTGAAACAAAACTCCATCTCATTTTATGCTTCATCAATCCATGTGTGTTTATTCAATCCGTCACGTCGAATTTATTTAGAGAACAAAAAAGGTTTTCCTATTCAATGCACCCAGAAGACTGAAAACGACAATCAGCAGAAGTAAGTGGGGTGTGGTCGATAGAATTCTGTTCAGAGTATTTCATTCAGTGTCAATTATAGTGGTCAGTACTGAGAAACGCTCTGTTCTAGATTCTAAGTGGTATTCTTTAGTTTGGTTCATTGATGACGTGCGTGAAAAGGAGAGGTTGGGTATTTGACTACTGTCGGCATGAGTGCTCACCGTATTTAAATACCTTGGATCCCTTTTTACCGAAAACCTGTTTAGCATCTGTTGTACATCAAACAAAAAGATTTTTTTCTGAAAATACATACAGGTATTGACCCAACCGATGCAACATCCTGATTTTCATCACATTTGTTCCTCTCAATGCTTTGTTTTCCCAGCCTCATTCACGGGATTGCTCCACATCAGTCGCAACATATATGATGTAATACCCACTTATATCTTTGGTTCTATTAGCCCCATGCCATTAAAATGTACAATTTCGCGATTTGCCAATAGTTGCTGGTACATCAAGTGTAGAATAACGAAGCCACAATAGAAAATGTAACTAGAATTAATTTATCAAAATGACTCATAGACTGTAAACAGGTTTTGTACTTTCATGTCGTCCATGTTCCATTTGTCCTTCTTCATTTTTGACCACTGGAGGCAGTTGCTTTAGCATGGAGTCCACCAAGTTGACCGACAAACGGAATTTGCCAGTTTCCTCTAATACACAGCTGTAACTTAGGAACTACTACAAACATTATAGCAACACTCAAGGTCGCGCAAATTCAGTGATAGAAGAGAACTAGGAACATAGAAGTGGGAGATAAAATGAGGAATAAATACACTTCAGCCATAGCCATCAATAAACAAGTATGACATTGGAGACTGAAATGTATCTCCAACATCTGGATATGTTGGCCCACTACTCGCTTCTTCATCGAAAACTCTGATATCATCATCAAATGTCGCATAACCGCATGAATCGAAGTTTCTTTGAAGTGCAGTTTAGTGACACTTGCTCTCAAATGGGCACGTTGTTAGTTGCGTAGTACATACACATTCTGTTCTGACTGCAATCCGACAGACACACGCACGCATCATCTGATGCCGGTCAAGGAGATCCGTCATCTTACAGCCATATTCGGAGATGATGTCTGGTTTCATTTTCAGTCCGAAATGGCACTTGCTCTGTCTCTCTTCTGATCTGAGAGTGATGCTTTTATCCAACGTCTATCTTCCCATTCCTGTGGCCTTGTTCATCAGCGAGCTCCCCGGTTCTCTTTTATCCGTCAAAGCTCCGTGTAATTCTCCGCCGCCGTCATGATTGATGTCGGTTGCAAGAAGACAAATCTCTTTGTGGATAAACATTCATTTTATACCAGAGTTGTCTTTCGTGGTTTTGTGTAAAATACATGATAAATTGTTAGTTATACTCACAACGACCAGTGATGCACATGAATGTATTTTTTCTTGCACCACTGTCAGAGTCACGTTGTGGAATGGGTGTGAAACGAAATATATTCAATCGGTCGTTTTTTTCATCCTCTCGAATGACATCAGAATGGTGATCGAAATCCTCGTTGCAACAAGCGGTGCTTGACATGTGACATCTATTGGATTCTGAGAAACGCACATCACTTAAATATGCAAAAAAGGCGAATTCGTTTTTCTTGTTTATTTGATATTTTGGCTCCCTTTCCGTCTGTTCTACCCACTCCTATCAAAAAACAGAAAAATTGCTCATCCATTGGTCAATGAGATCCCCTAAATTTTCACTGTCGTGGTACATATAGTCAAGTGGCGACGAGATTAATCAGGTGATCACGTGCAAAGACAAATCTTCTTTTTCAAAAGCTACCAGCCATTCTTTGCTTCTCCGCTTGAATGTCCTCCATTTCGAACATCACCAGATACAAGTTTCAGAAAACTGCCAACTTTTTGAGAGTGAAATTGAAATCACGTTCCAATCTAACCAATCACTGGGACTGGGCTAATATTTCAAATCAAGCTGCAGTAATTTGTGTAACCAATTCTGGCTCATCCTCATCAAATCTCATGTGATTGATCGGCTCTGCCACTGATTTTGCTAGTATTGATCGATATGCATTCACTTTGTGTTTTTCTTTTAAATCGATTTGGCTGAGCTGAAACAATCTCATTTTATTTAATGACGTGTATTTCCTGATCAGGGGCTTTCGGATGCAACAGGGAGCTCTAGTCAAGAGTTAGTAAAATATAATAAATGCCTGAGGCAGCGTTCACAGATCGTGACATTCATTTTACTCACCAATGGAGACATCATCTTGGAACTCATTCATACATAAATCCCAAAGTGTGATCAGCTGACTTGATTCTTGGGAATGGGTGCACACCAATCCAAATGTTCTATTCTTTTGACTTGTACCGCGTTCGCCGAAAGTTACGCGCATTCATTTGTTACCATACTTGGTCCTGAAGTTCGCAATGCTTTTGATGCATATTTGATTTCATTCGGTGTCACTCGATGACTTTGACATGGATCGTTCTGTTCATAAGATATACAAACAAATTAACTAATGTATCTTTTGTTCGTTTTACACTGGGATGTGAAAGTGCTCTTGACACTGGTGATCTTCATATGATAGCCATGGTTATAGAGTCGCTGTGTGCCACTGTTATGAGGTACTACTCACTTTTATGAGTAGCTCGCAAAAGGATGTTATTGGCGGTTCAAAAATGAATAAGAACTATTGGAGCGAATTGCTGTGTTCAGTATGGCAAATACGAGAATGCGCATCTACAGGTGGACCGTTCTACAAGCTATCCGGTTTGTATATGGGAATTCTGAAGACTCGTTCCGAATGTATGTATGCTAATTTACCAATACTTTGACCGTTATTCATGATAACTAACTATTTTCGTCCAGGTATCCACCGCCTTGTGGATTTATAATACCATAACTGGCGTTGGGTTGTACAATTATCGGTATCAATTCAGGTGGCCTTCTGTAGCAAGTATTACCAATTCTGTCAATTCGGATTCGAACTGCTGTTGTTGGTTCGGTTGTGATGTGTACTGTTGACAGTGTTACATAAGCCTGCGAAGTTTGTATTTTGCTAATCAATACATGTTATTTCGGTTATGACTGAAAGGAAAGTGGCATAAAAACTTCGACCAGTAGGAGGCTGATACAACGTTAATCATCCTGGGTAATAGGTCACAAAGTTGCTAAGATGTCCGCGTGTCTTGACTCAACCAGTAGTAACTTATATGCGTTGTGACACGGAACATTGCACACACAAAACTGGGAATAACAATTCTAGTTGTTCACAACGCTTCAGTATTCAGGGATTGTTATGGAGAAGTTTGGTTTCCTACTTGTGCATCAATTACCCGAATTGCATTGACTGACCCCGGTTCTCGCGGTGAAGGATGATTCTTGACAAGTGTGATGATATAGCAGGTCCCAGACTAACAGATTGGAGAAACCAGCTTAGAATCTGGAGCAGTGATGCCGTAATGGTAAAACTCGTTTGGTCATTTTTTTTCATTTGCTGATAGGTTACCAATAGACAGAAAGCAAAAACGGGCTGAACAATCAATGTTTACGCACATATATTGGATTTGCAATAGGTGCTGCCTAAAACTGTGCTCATAGCTTGAATGATTATCACTGAATGACAACTGATTTCTTACGTTCATTCGCGGCATAGCATTTTGATCAAATCCTCGTCTACATCATGATGAACAGTCATTTCGTTCACATAATTTATTTCATCGTACCTCGGTATGTGTTATCGAAACAGTTTATTCTGTTTTTCAAACTTATTTGACTTACTAAACGAAATTATTTGCACGGGGTTTATTTACTGATGTAATCTACTATGTATACAAACAGGTGAAACCATCAATCAGTTATAAGAGACAGCCAATTTTCGTTATACCTGCTTTGCTGGTCTAAAAATCTGCTGATAATGACAACGCCAGAAAACCTTGCGTGCGACTGGTAATGAGTCTGATACATTTTAACGTTTGGGGGTGTTGAACGTGACAACTAGGCCAGTTCGGGTCACTGAGATCAACCTGACGAAATGACATCACATCAGTTGACTCAATTTATTACCCCGTAAGGATCATTTCGAAGCAAAACCAGTGGTCATTTTCATATTTGGCCCTTCCCGTTTTTTCCCCCCGGCCCATACATTATTATTATTATTCTGATCTGGAACGGAATTCACAGATTTCCCTGTTATGCAGTCTGAAGCATCCGAATATCCTCAGTTGCATTGGGGTGGTCACACGAAATCGGAAAATCTGTCTCCTCACCGAATACATCAGCCGTGGTTGTTTGCACAATCTGGTCATAGATCCGCACAGATACCCACTCTCTTGGTCCATCCGAGTCTCGTTTGCCAAGGATATTGCCACGGGAATGGTAAGTAGAGTCGATATTATGACAGACATTAGTGTAGGATATTTCCCTGAAAAAAATGTCCCCTTTAAAGAAATTTTGTTATTCTGATTAATCCATGTGTCTTAAAAAATAGGGTAATTAAACCCACTCACCGACTGATGTTTTTCTCATATTAGCACCGGGCACAATTTCATTATAAAACCACAGTTATTCTGGTCATGATGGGAGCTCAATACGTTTGTGACCGACAGCTGTTCGCTGTTCAGAAGCGATGCGACAGGGCTGATTACTCAAGGGAAAACCTGTAAATGTATAACTTCCTATACAATATCGAACAGAATGTGCTCTGCACTATTATAGAAATAGCATCATATTCCAGGGTGTCCACACCACTCGTATGTAACACGATCGCAATGGCGATGACCCGAACGATATTTGGCTCAACAAGGAGAGATTTTCTTTCAAAACAACTTTTGTTTGCTAAGAAAATGGATGCTTAACTAACCAGTAATCAGAGTGTTCCAAGGTGAATCGTGAGAACAGATAGGTAAGATAGTTTGTTTACGAAGAGAAGCTATTTATTGAGCTTTGCGGTACAGATTCTCCAAGCGCAATTTTAGTAACGTATATGGCATGAGTCATATGACACACTAAGGTTCATCACACTGTCCCATCTCTAGGTGTGGACACCTCATTCTCATAGAAAATATTGGAATCTGTGTACAACTGTGAAAATTAATCGGAAAAATCACATACACACATTTTTTTGGGGTGGGGTGGGGGTTGGAGTAATGTGTGTTTTGTATATCAGGTTTCATATTGATACTCAGTGGAACAGTAGAAAAAAAGATTGGATTGATGGCCAGCCGAAATGAGTAAACCTCTCGATTCCAGTTTCCTGTGCTTGCCCTATCCTCCTTTAAACCGTATGTGCATCGGAACGACCAGAGCAAACAACTTCACAGGGATAAAACTCAGTCACTGATGTGATATCTACCTCAATACCATTTACACATACACGTCATTCAGTCCATAGTAGCAGATTCGCTGATGGAACACCTAGAGAGGCACAATGTTTTGTCACCAAATCAATATGGATTCCGACAGAAACGATCCTGCGCTACCGATTTGCTGATCGCACGAGAAGAATGGACAAGAGCAGTTGATGATGGTGACGCGGTGGACGTAATTTATCTGGACTTCTCAAAAGCTTTCGATCGGGTAAATCACGACATTCTACTGAGGAAACTCTATAACAACGGTATTCGGGGCCTCGCGCTTGGCTGGATCGAAGCATTTCTCCG